AACTATAATTTATTTGTGTGATTAATCCCAGCAACCAGTAATGAAGGAGTTGTGTGTTTTAAAAAATGGGACTATTTAGGCAGAAGCAGAAATAGCGGAGGGACTGTTCGTTTTCATTGCATGACACCCATATTACCATCAACATGACAGAATCATGAATCAGGAAACCAAAAAGCATGAGATCGGCTCAAAAATAACAAACACTGTTCTTTTGGTTAGTCCTCTGTTTTTTAATTCTCCAGGAATTCTCCTGTACCTATAAACAAAAAAGCTAAAAAATTAACTTTTAAAACTAACAGCTGAGATCTTCAGATAATCCTGCAGAGTAGTTTCTTGAAAGAAAATGTCTAAAGAATATGAGATATACAATAAAACTGATCGTTGGCCACCTTGCCGTCACAGGGTATTTCCTATCTCAGCATCATTTAGAAAGGCTTGACAAGGAACTGAAGCCACACACAGTTCTTGTTTCAGCTGTCCTCATGGATTGACCCACTGTCATCAGAGGAAGTTCCGATGACATTTTTGACAGTGACCCAGATGAAAGCATTCAGTACTGAACTGCTGAGAAGAAGCTTTTGCAGCTGTGTTGCACAAGCCACAACAGCAACGTTACACTGTCCTCCTAAATTCACAGGGCTAGTGGGAAAATTACAATGTTGGGCAATAGTACCTACTGTAACAAGTGATGGCATTGGAAATAGAAGGCAAAACTTTTGGTATTATTTAGTTCAGGGACCAGCAGCTTTGCAAGCATTTCTTTATTTCTCTTTGCAAAATTAGAGGGTAAGGTAGACAGCAGAAGTTCAGATACTAGGAAATGTTGCAGCTCACAGTGGTGAGAAGCTGATGAATGCAAATCGGTATTGCATGAAGGTGAATTCTTGCTTTGATGTTAGGCTGTGATTGGCTGAGTTGTGGCTGGTACTTAGTGCAAACTTCTCTCTTGGGACATCATAAAGGGATAAACTTGCCTTGCTGGAGATAAGCCTGGGGGTGGCACATCAATGTTTGAGGGACAGTGTGCTAGCGAGGTTCTTCAGTCTGCTGTCTCAGTGGAGGTAGGGGATGGAGACCCGTGCAACAGCAAAGACACAAGGGTTATGGATGTGTTAGAAACCACAGAAGCACCTGAGAATGGTCACATAGGAATTAGGATTTCTCCCCCAAAAGGGGATCAATAGCCCAACTGAAGTGCATGCACATCAATGCACACAGCATGGGCAGCAAACAGGAGTAGCTGGAAGCAATCTTGCAGCAGGAAAACTATGATATAGTTGCAATCATGGAAGCATGGTGGCATGACTCACACAACTGGAGTGCTGCCATGGGTGGCTATAAACTCTTCAGAAGGGATAGGCAAGGAAGGAGAGGTGGTGGGGTAGCTCTGTATGTTAGGGAGTGTTTTGATTGTCTAAAGCTTAATGATGGTGACAATAGGTTTGAGTGTTTATGGGTAAGAATCAGGGGGAAGGCCAACAAGGCAGATATCATGGTGGGAGTCTGTTATAGACCACCCAACCAGGATGAAGAGGCAGATGAAATATTCTATAAGCAGCTGGGAGAAGTCTCACAATCGCTAGCCCTTGTTCTCATGGGGGACTTCAACTTACCAGATGTCTGCTGGAAATACAATACGGCAGAGAGGAAACTGTCTAGCAGGTTCCTGGATTGCGTGGAAGATAACTTCCTGACACAGCTGGTGAGGGAGCCAACTAGGGAAGGTGCCCCGGTGGACCTCTTGTTTGTGAACAGGGGAGGACTGGTGGGTGATGTGATGTAGGCCATCTTGGGCATAATGATCATGAAATGACAGAGTTTTTGATTCTTGGAGAAGTAAGGTGCGGGGTCAGCACAACTGCCACCTTG